CAAGTAGAATCAGTCAACATCCAAACATCGAGCAGTAAACATTCTATATTATTTTGGAAATCAACCCCAAATAAGAGTATACATCAAACCCTCCTATCTCGTCTGAGAATGGGTCACACCGCCATCGCCCATAAACATTTGCTGGTGAGAAGGACGCAGAGGAATTGGTAGAAGGCAGAACTCTTGGTTAAAGAATATCAGGGAGTGGACAGGAATAAGGAAAGCTCAGCAACTCTTTAGAATAGCTCGAGACAGAGACAGTTTCGCCATGTTAATCGCCAATGTCAAGGGGACTTGATAGGGCACGTTAAGAAGAAGAAGGTGAGTGAATTAAAACCACAGTGCTACGTATGTGATATTGTGCTCAGTGTTCGCCATATTTTACTGGAGTGTCTATATTGCATGGAAAGACTTCAATATAAATTGCAAGATACCTTACAGGCAATATTAAGAGACGGAACTGATATGAACAATTTGACATCATACTTATATTCCATAAATGTACTAAATAAATTGTAAAACTTTAGATTGTACAACGCCAATGACCCTACGAGGTTGACCAGCATTTGTAAGCCGTTTATGTTACTAAACTTTTGTTAAAAAATGTCCATGTTTCATCCAGATATAAAAATATTTATGCCGTTTCTTCTGAATTATAGAATTTCCCTTAAATATCGCCTCCTCCAATAAATTATTACCCCTTTCCCTATAAGCACAGATTTTGTATCATGTTTCTCCCAAACGAAGTCTAATTCGTGCAAAATTTCGCAGACTTGGTCTCTTGTTGTGTTTGGCAAAGTTTTATCGCTGGTAAACTTAAAGACAAACCAATGTCGTTAATTCTATTGCGGGTTTTAGTACAAAAGTGGCCTTCAATAAATTTAAAGTTTAAGTAAATTAAAAAATGTAGTGTAAAGTTGCATCGTAATATTTTTATACCACATAATATTTCTAAATCAGTATCAGTATGTGAACTGTCTTAAAAAGTACGGATTGCATTTGCATTATTAAGGAAAAACTTGTTATTGATCTTGAAAACTCTGTTATTTATAAATCCAGCACAACTACTTAAACGTTTTTCAATAAAATGTCTTAATTAAAGAAAGGGGTTGTTGTTCTTTCTTTACGTGTACTAAGAATCAAAATTCGTTTGTTTGTTGACTAATTTTAGGCTGTTAATTGGGTAGTTCTGGATATACCAATACTAATATGAAGTCGTAATTACATCGCAATTGATTCTTTGAGGTTTCTTTTTTAAGATATATTCAAAAAATTTCAACATTTTATCAAAATTGTTATTGGAACAACCGTTTGAAGAAGGGGTGATTGTTTATTAACATTAAAAACTGAATTTTTTTTATTTCAATTAACGTGCATGTGACATCTATGATCATTAGCACGAGTTAAAAGAAAAGTAGTGATGTGGTTTTTAAAGATAATCGTGGTGGCCCCACTACATTTAAATTTACAGAGCATGGCAGGAAACAGATTAAAAACCACATTAATTCTTTCCCCGAGAAGAGGGTCACTACGGCCGTTCAAAGTCCCAAAAGGAGTACTTAAGCATGAGGGTCAATCAGGGACAGAAGGGAGTCAGATAGCTTCCTGTATATTGCAAGCTTTAAATAGAGGTATGTTGCCGGCTTACAAGAAAAAACTTGTTGTATGGAGTGACAACTGCCGTGGTCAAGTCAAAAACCGTGTATTGGTTTTCTTGTACATTTACATAGTATCTTTAGCCTTATTTGAGTCTGTAGAGCATAAGTTCTTGGTACCTGGTCCCAGCTTTTCTGCAGCAGATCGGGACTTCACAGTTATAGAAAAGAGATCTAAGGTAGCAAAAATTCAAACTGTTAAAGGTGTGGAAAACGTAATCAAATCAGCCAGACCATAAAGACCATTCCGAGTGCTAAACATTGATAGATTTTTTACCTTTACAAAGCATCTGCAATGTGTATCAACACTAAAGATTTAATGATATCCAAAGTGTCGTATTTCAAGATTGATAAAAACAAACCTGGCTACGTACTTACCAAAAAAATTTCAGCGAAATGTATGGGTTTGACAAATAATGCTACGTCATCAAGAAAAATATTTTTATTGAGTACATAGCTTCCATGGAGTTTACTACTCTACCAAACAAGGTAGAGACTAGCAGAAAACAAAAAAAGGAAGCATGTTAGGTTTCATTGATGAAGAAAACAGAGATTTCTACTATAAAATAGGTACTCTGTGATGGCACTTAGATAGCTAGTAAAACATACCAATGGACTTAGACCTGTTTGAAAAATAATATGGTTAACATGCGTTTTCTCTGTTTCGTTTTTGTAAAACTGTAAAAAAATTACAAAACCATCTATTTACATTAACTTGTTTGATTAAAACCACTTTTTGTAAATAAAATTGTATTGTGTTGAAAACTTTTTTTACTTTTCGCAACAATTTTACTTTTGACTTTAACTTTTAACTCATTTTAACTCTCAATATTAACATTAAACTCTAATTTGATGGCTTTCAAATCTTCAGAACAAGGTAAGAAATAATAAGGTCAAATACAATAGCAAAAGTGTAGAGCACTTTTGTCCAGCAGTTTATATGTTATACTGACTTTCGCTTTATAGTTAAAATAAAAAAATGCGTCAATGCCATTTTACTGTATAATTACAGTAAGAAAATGAAACATTTACATAACATTTATGGAGCTTTTCGTTTTTATCGCCATCAAAGATCTCAAAGCTAATTAGGCTATAAATGAGTAAAAGCTTTCATAAAATTGTGGAAAACGCAACGACGTTAAAGAAATACCCGCCCCTATATTATCATTAATCTTACGGGGTGTATAATAAATTGCCGTTTATTGTTGTATTTTTTGTAGCTTTTATGAGCCGACTTGGAAAATGCAATTTATCATACACCAATAAAAAATAATAATCAATATAAATGGACAAATATTGATCAGAATAATATTAGAAAATGCAACAATACAGGGAAAAAAAACCTGAGTTCATACTTTTCTCGCAAGTTTAGTATCGGAAGAATCACTAGAACAATACACAAATTACACCACCAAGATAGTACCATTTTACGAACGAGTTAAAAAATACCGTATTATATCAATTAAATCACCTTGACACCCATAAAAATATACCAGATACCTCCCTGGACAGTGTCTTTACCAATAGCACACCTCTCTTTACTTAATCATGATAAGCATTCACACATTTCTCACAAATTTACTCAAATATTCCACTTACAAATTGTTCTTCACTGATGCCTCCAAAGATTGCAACGGAGTAGCAGGTGCTACTGTATCAGAAAACGTAATTTCTGCCACTAGATTAACTGATGGCTGTAGTATTTATACCGCAGAGCACCAAGCAATACTTGACGCACTAATTCATTGTAAAACTACAGATCAAAAACAAATACTAATATTATCAGATTCATTCAGTTCTTTACAGGCCATTAGACGTGTTTATCCTACACATATCAATCTATTCCTAATTAAAGACGCGTTGCAACAGCTCCAATTTTCTGGGAAAACCATATCATTTATGTAGGTCCCATCACATGTCGGAATAACTGGTAATGAGCTAGCGGATAAAACAGCGTGTGAAGCAATAAACAATGTGAACATTCCGACTACAACAGGTGTATCAATATCAGATACTAAAACTTTATTCAATACTCATGTAAATAAAATCTGGCAAGTAATATGGGATAAAACAAACACAAATCTTAAAAGCATCAAACCAGAGGTATCTTCAAAAAGTCTTCCTATACCACCAAAACGAAAAGACCACGGCTACATAATCTCCAAAGAACCACTACCAATGTGCGAAAGATGCCAAACACCTTTTACAATCAACCATATAATAATAGAATGTCCAGAGTACACCTCACCTATAAACCTATCATTTGCATTAATTTTTGCAAGCTTGATGGCTTTCCTGTACTCTTTTCTAAGTTTGATAATGGTACTTCTAGGTGCAGCAATGGGATCGTTTCTATTTATTGCTATAATAAATTGAAGTCTCCCATGCATTTTTCTTAAAGTGACATTGAACCAGTTTACTTTTTTACCTGGATTATTATCATTCAGAAATTTTGATTTTTCTGGAAAAGAGATATTTATGCAATTTAGCATTTAAAATTTTGAATTAATATCCAAATTACCATTGCATACCAAATTAAAGATCCAATTTAGCAAAATCTGGTTCAGAATAAAAAGACCTTCATTTATGATAGGTATATAACAAACTCTGGTTGCACAATTTGTGGATGAGTAAGCTACCAGAAAGGAAATACATCTGTCAGATGTGTGAGCGAGATCCACAGGTTTTGTGGTACTATCAATATTTGTGAAAACATTATCAAGACATCTATTACCTCGAGTATTAAATTTAAGTTTTTTTGTAATATTGTAAGATCTAAAAAATTACAGAGTTTTAAAGGTGTGGTGTAGTTTCACAGTAGAAGAATTATTTCGCGCAGCAGCCGACAGAGAAAGGTTTCAGGAAATTGTAAACATGATGACGGCCAACGTCTGAATACGGACACGGCACCCAAAGAAGAAGAAAGCTCTGATACATCTTTCATTAAAATGTACATTAAAGTCACCCCCCGTAATTATAACAAGTTTATGAACATTAATTTTTTTAAGAGCTTTAGCCACAATGGTAAAGAATTTGTCTAAATCACTATCTGGAGTACGATAGACGGTAATAAGCTGCACATTAGATTTATTTAATAAAATACCTGTAATCTCACAATACTGTTCTTTCAAAATAATAAACCAAATAAAAAAAAAACATAAAAAATGAACTAAAATATACTTTAAAAAATAATCAACGTAGTAGCTAGTGTTTACTTTATAAATCTCTTTCGCCAAGTTACTATATGAAATAAATTTTTCAACAGCCTTTATAGAGCTTTGCTATCTACCCAGAGAAAAATAAGTATCTAGTGCAGTATTAGTTATTAAATCAAAATTAACTTACTATTTTGTTCCATGAAAATACTGGGATCGTATGAAAATCCAGACGCCTCCAGAGGTTGACCGCAACTGGCATGTTCTCTTGGGGACTGTAGGTTTATAATAGACTTGATTCCTAAACTATCATTTTAGAATTAATACATTTAAAGGATTACTAAAGTTAATTTCTTATTACTACGGCAAATAGCATTAAAACTTATATTTTCTCGGGTTTGGACTTGTAGTACCCTTTAGAACTTCTGGCCCTTGATGTATAACATTAACGTGGACTGACATATTTCGCCTCAACAACAATATTGCACTTACAGAGCAAATCCAGAAGTCTGGATCGAAAATATTAGAGTAGTTAATAGCAACTTAATCATAAACTAAAGCAGTTGCCTCACTTACAGCTGCAACGAACCCAATTATCACAAAAGCTGAAAGATAGTAAGTAAACTCACTGTACAAAACTCAGAAACGTGTTTCGAAGCCAGAAAAGACAGCATTAGTAAAAAGGTTTGAACATGAAGGATTTTGTATGCCAGTATTTAATGCAATTTTTTTCTTGCAGATATTCTGTACATTCAAGTTCCAGTGTAGAAATTTAAGTCCAGTGTAGGTCGTAGTCCATGTCGCTGGTAAATTTAGCCCAATGTTCTCTTTTGACTGATTTTATTCTTGCGTTTACATTGTTTCTTACTTAGAACATGAAGGATTTTGTATGCCAGTATTTAATGCAATTTTTTTCTTGCAGATATTCTGTACATTCAAGTTCCAGTGTAGAAATTTAAGTCCAGTGTAGGTCGTAGTCCATGTCGCTGGTAAATTTAGCCCAATGTTCTCTTTTGATTGATTTTATTCTTGCGTTTACATTGTTTCTTACTTAGACATATTCTGCGAGAGCTTCTTCTGATTGAGTGCTTTTATATCTCAGGTAGCATTTGCTTTTTAATTCAGAGAGTTCTTTTACCTCTTGACAAAAACACGGTTTGGTGTGGTTTATCGCCCTCGTGTTAATTTTTCGCTTTCTAATTGCTTCTTCTGCTGCTTGGTTGATGCAGACGAAACTAAAAAGCAGATAACAATGAATCAGTAGCAATGAATTTATTGACGTGTATAAGAAGACTTTTGCAGAAACCATTGCAGTCTGCTACAAAAAATAGACGTAATTATTTCCAAGAAGAAACCTGGAGACTGACAAGCGAACTAGCCATACGCAATTAAAATTTTCTGCATTTGTAGGAAAGCCATCACACAAGAACAAAATAGGCTTTTTAAAGCTTTTAAAAAATTATATCTGAACATTCAAATCACGAATAAGTTTAACAACAAATCTATATTCAAGCGAGAAAACTTAATCAACGCAAGACAGAACAGGCTCAAGAACTTTTGAAAGAAAATGTTTGCAGTTGATGGACCAAGTTTTGTTTTTGCTGACATTCACACATTCAGACATGTTTTACCTTTCACAGCTCTCATGATACAACTTTGGAATCTATATAGGAGACACAGGAACGTCTATGTCTTTGTGGCATGGGAGATTGTCAGGACGTGGCTCCAATGAAATTGCATATTGTCGACTTTTTTTTCTGGGTCGCGGTTTCAACTCATATTTAAAATAATACGGTCTCCTAACTGTGTCGGCCAGATCAAACATATTAAGTTATTATTAAAAAAGCTGCCAATTGGCGACTAGTATACAAAGAGTAATACTTGTGCGACTACTGTACACAAAATTAAACAGTGTCTACTGAAAGGTTAATATTTTGGCCTTAACTTTTTTTCAATATGCATTGTGGCGTTTAACGTGTTCAACTTGTGTGTTTCATACGGCGTATAAGTCATTTATATTTTGTGTTGTTATTGCACATACACCAGTTCTCATATAGTGTTCTGCTCTCAAAATAAACGTTTTGATATTAAGAAGTTTTTGTTAATTATCTCTACAATATAATTTTGGCACATACACCCATTTGACACTTTCACACTTCAAATAATGAAACGAAGAGATTGCCGCATTAAACGCAAAGCTCAACACGTTGAAATGCTTAAACAATTTACCAGAAAAAAGTTTTAAGTGGTAGCTACTTTTTGTGGGTTTAATTAATGCCGGTGCAGTTTGCTGTAATTAGGGAATGTCGAGGAAATCAATGAATACCTTTGGAATTGTTGTATTATATTTTTCTGTATTATCACAATGGTGCTGGGTCGAGCCATCGCCAGGATATCGTCCGTAATCCTGCAAAAACATAAACATTATTAGCATTTAGATAGAGTAGGAGAATCAATTGAACATCGTATAAAATGAATTATGGCTTTGGCCAAAGAAAACTGTCGTTGTTTCCAAGTATATAATGCCATGTGTCTTAAAAAACACTGTAAAATCAAAACGATAAGAATTAGATATAATTTTTATCGTCTACTATAAAAATATTTACGTAGAATGTTTTTCTTCGTTATTTCACCACTTACAAAAATTAAATTACTGTTTGTGAATATTTTATAACTGACAATCAGTGGGTAAAAGCTGAAATGGACCCTTGAACAAACGTGTAAATTTATTCATGTAGAGAGCACCTGTTACAGAAAAAGAAGACGACAATTTCACATATTATTGAACGTGGAGAATAATATAGTCCATCTAGAAAGCAAGCGGAATTTTATATTTTTCCTAATTTTAATCGATTTCCTTTTTGTAACATTTTTAAGACAAAAGTAACGCATGACGTAGGTTGTGCCGATAGTAGGTTATGGACAAAATCGCATGACAACATCATCTGTCAAATATTGTTGTTTGTAAACAGACTTAAGATTTGTAAAATAATGTCGCAAGTAGAAAAAAGAAAAGTGATGGAATATTTTTATAGAAAGAGTATCCGAAACGTTAAAAAATGAGACAATAAAGCGAATAAAGAGGATAAAAAATGGCATAGATATGAGACACAGACCAGTTTCGGGTAGACAGCGTAATTGCTGTTTACAATTTAAATGCTTTAGTAACTTTAGGACGACAAAATCCGCGCCTAGGATTTCAAAAATTAGCGAACAGATTTGGAAATCAACGAAGAATAAAAGTGTGCCCAGAAACTTTCTGCATTCCTAACATTACTTCCAAAAGATCAGTTTGGTTTTCGGGAAAATCACTCCACTGCTCAAAAAGTGCATCGAATGATAAATGAAATATCAAAAAGTCTTGAAGAAAAGAAATACTGCAACGCTGTATTTCTATATATATCACAAGCGTTTGACAAAGTCTGCTTTACAAAGTAAAAATAGCACTATCCAGTAACTATTTCCTCCTACTTAAATCCTACATATCAAATAGATATTTCTCTGTAAAATTCAAAGAGCAACAATCCAACCTCTAACCTGTCAACTCCAGAGTCCCGCAGGGTAATGTTCTAGGCCCCCTGCTTTTCTCACTCTACACAGCCGATATACCAGAGACTAATAATACTACAATCGCTTCATTTGCTGACGACGCGACGTAGCAATACAAGCTGTAAATGGAGATCCCATAGAAGATTCACAAAACCTGCAACATCATCTGAACATACTCAGTGATTGGCATACGAAATGGAGAAAAAAAGTAAATAAAACAAAATCAACTCAAATAACATTTACCAACCGTCACAACATGTGCCCACCTGTAACGATGAAAAATGTAAGAATACCAACAGTAACAGGCGCTAGATACCTTGGCCTCCATCTTGACCAACGTCTCACTTGGAACAAACATATCCAGACCAAAAGAAGGCAGCTCGACTTAAAATTACGGCAAATGTATTGGCTTCTTGGACGTAAATCAAAATTTAACATCCAAAACAAAATTTTTCTATACAAAGCCATACTCAAACCTATCTGGTTGTACGAACTACACCTATGGGGCTGTGCAAAGTCAACGTCGCTGAATATTATCCAAAGATCCCAGTCTAAAGTGCTAAGATCGATAGTGGATGCACCATGGAACGTAAGTAATCAAACACTTCACTACGACTTAAAGATTCCTTTCATCAGAGAAGAAATCGAACGAGTCACAGAGTCACAAAATGAATGTACCATTCACCATGAAAATGAGCTATCTATCAATGTATCTAATTAGCCTTCTTCGGTCCATCTTTGGACATAGGCCTCCCTAATCCTTTTCCATACTTCTCTGTCTATCGCTACAGTCATCCACCTAGAGTCCACGTGCTTCTTGATATCATCAGCCCATCTCATTTGGGGCCTTCCTCTGCTTCGTTTATATTCCCACGGTCTCCAACTTATAAGAATTTTGTTCCAGCCGTTTTTTTTTTGTCTTATATTGTGTCCGGAAAATCTCAATTTCAATTTTGTAACTTCTTGTCTAACATCGCTCACTTTTGTTTTCGCTCTTATCCTTTGGTCTTAAGATGCTGTGGATCTAAAAGTGCTATCATGAGAAAATGTTACCGTTTCAAATTTCCATATTTCCCACTAAAATATTGGTTTGGGGAGCAATATAGCGTGGTGCTACACCTCCCTGTATAGTAAATGGTACTGTTGATAGTGCGAAATATTGTGACATCCCAAATGGTTTTCTTTTTGAAACGGCTCATGTTTTATATCCAGAGGGGTGTCGTTTTCAGCAAGATGATGCAAGATGCCATACTTCTGCTTATACTCAAGCTTGGATGAAAGAACACGAATTGGCAACAATTCCGTAGCCAGTAGCATCTCCAGATCTTAGCCCCATTGAAAACATATGGGAACTGATGAAGATTGAAGTGGAATGAGCAGCGCCACGAGATAAAGAAGGTTTGATTTGGTCAGTTTTACAGGTCTGGAACACCATTACCGATAATTATGGCCTTGACCTAGTTTCGGGAGTACCTGGAGTTGTGACGTGCCGTTAACAGTGAAACACGTATTAACGGAGTGTCCCAACTATAGTGCTGAAAGACTAACTATAATAAAATTCCATCAGTTACAAGAGAGATTTTTAGCAAACGCTTTGCAAGACTATGTGGAAGAAGTGAATATTGCGATAAGGCAAAATATGTGTTTTCTACAAGATGGCGCTCCACCTCATTACAGTAATGAAGTACGGGAATATCTTTGCAGGCAGTATCCTGGTCGGTGGATTGGAAGGGGTCGTGATGCACCTATTTCTT